ACCACCATTGTTAATTCCCTACCACTTTGTTTGTAACTCTGTGTTGTCTGTATTGTGCTTGTGATATGTTGTAAAATGTTGTATGTCTGTTAATGTTTCCCTCCTTTTATCTTTAAAATAAAAATAAAAATAAAAAAAAAAAGAGTTTATGCTGCTACCGCCCTGTGATAAAAGATATTATAATGAGAATCTTCATGCATCGAGAAATTTTCTGGGTTTCTTATTTCTTTAAAATGAATCATTAGAAGTTAAATTACTAGAACAAAGAGAAATCATCACTTTTGAAGGATCACATATGATGTCAAATTTCTTTTGTGAACTATGATTTTAATTCCATCAGTAATATGAGAAAAGCCAATCTTACTGTATCCTCAGCACTAATTTCCAAAATTTATTCAATTTTAGCTAATTTAGCAGACTACCTCTTAGATTTTTTTTAAACTTACTATTGAATTGATCATCACTTAATGTTTCCAATGTTTCACAAGAATTTTGTAAATCAGTAAAACAATTTATAGTTCCTGCCAATCTTGATTTTTTGATATTTCAACCTCTATTTTGATACAGACAACCTTTCCTTGTATAATTTCCTTCATTGAATTTCTGCTAGGAAACTGGTCCTTCATTGAGATATTTGATACCTATTACAATTTCTTCTAACTTATTGAGTGCTTCTGTTCAATTTGATCTCCATCTGGGCAGAACTTGAACAATACATTTGATTATCCACCATATCTGGAATGAGATGGACAGAAGTACAAATTTAGATTTATTCATAGGCAGTTGTTACATGGTTTATCTGAATGGTGGGGGACTTGGAAGGAAAAAGATCACAAAAATTGGTGATAATGAAGTTTGGGGATGTATGTGGATGGATCTCTAACAATGTAAAGTTTGAAAATACTTCTGTCCCCGTGAATACTCAGTAAAGGACAACCACTATAGACTCTTCATAATCTGGTAAACAAAACAATGTGCTTTATGGGTGCCAGTTAGTACCTGTTTCCAACTATCCCCACTAGTTCTTTAATACATCCATCATCAAGGTAGCCATAGTGGCAAGGATGGGGGTATCAACATGAATTTATTACCAAGGCTGACCTAGCTAACCTTACTGTGGAGCACCTAATTTACCAATAGCAGAAACCTAAATTATTGAGACAGCATCATTCCCCATGATAGAACAGCCTGAAACCTGACGGCAAGTTGTTCACATTGGATTTTTTTCCAGCATGGAAGCAGTAGATGTTTGTCCTCACTAGCTACATACATACTCTAGATACGGAGTTAACTTCCTCGCCCATTATGCTTCTGCCAGCATCACCATCTGTGAACTCACAGAACATCTTAACCACCATCACGGCATACTGCCATGGTATTATATCCCTCTAAGGAACTTACTCCAAAGCAAAAGCAGCAGTACCGCAGTGGGCTTGTACCCATGGAATCAGCTAGGCTACCATACATCCCATCATCCAGAGCACGTGCCCTAGCAGAATGGCTTACAGAGGACTCATGGAAGACAGCACTCTGAAAGGGTGAGGTTGTCTTCAGGGTGAAGCTTATTCTTTGAAAAGGGAATCACTATATGATACAGTCTCTGCCACAGCCAGAGTATGAGAATATGGGAATCAAAGAGTGGGAGGGGCTCCTCTATCATATCTGCTAACCCATCTGAAAAACCTGCAGTCCATTCCAGAAAGTTTGAAATCTGCTGATGTGGAAATCTTAATTTCTACAAGACTAGTGATTTCACCAGACGCACAGCTACTGAATGGACAGATGCTATTTCACCTGGCTATTCTGGCTTCTTATTTATGTTACTGAACCAGTACGCAAAAAATGAAAGGATAATTCATGGATGGAGTGCTCAGTCCTGATTACCAAAGGGAAATTATGTACAATGGAAGAAGATTATGTCTGGAACCAAAGGGGATTCTCTGGACTTCTTAGTGTCGCCAGTGGTGAAGGTTAATGGAAAACTACAGCAACTAAAACAAGGCAGGAAGATTAAGGACTCAGGCCCTTCAAGAATGAAAATTTAGGTTACTACCTCATTACTGCTGAAGATAAGGAAAATATGGAGTGCGCAGAGAAAGAAGGAAGTCATAAGTATCAACTACAATCCCAGGATCAGTTATACAAACCAAAACTATGTAGCTTTGGGTATTTTTCCTATGCCTTTTTGCTATATTTCCCTGAAAATAAGATTGGGCCTTATACTAATTCTTGCTCCAAACAAAAAAAGTAGTAGGGCTTATTTTCAGAGGATGTCTTATTTTTTTCATGTGTAACAATCTACATTTACTAGTGTGCAAAAATCCACATTTATTCAAATGCAGTCATGTCATCTTTTTCTGCAATGTCATCATAACTCTCCAAATCCTGAAATACAGCCTGAATTTCTTGCAACTCCATTTCCTGTAGAATCCTTGGCCCCAGTGTCTCATGCCCAGCAGAGCACTCTCATTAAATGAACACTTCTTGTCCATGTCGCCTTGCCTGTAGTGCACTGGCAACACAGCTGTCAGTGATTTTATCCCGCGAGTACTTCACCCAAGCCATGATCTCTTGCAGGCTGGGCATCATAAAGTCTCCACTAAATCAAGTGTCAACTGAAGACTTAGGAGAGGAGTGCCAACAAAATGACAACAATTTATTTCATAGGAGTGTATTAAGTATGTCCATTACAACACATGATGTACTAAATTATGAAGATTCATATTAGACATAACTACATTGGTTTGTTACCAAGTATGCATATTATTTATGCATTGGGTCTGTACTCTGATTGGTCATTTGGTAGTAAATCTCGAGTTCATCTGTTCACACAGGCATTTACCTTTGATCCAAAGGTGCCCACCTGGGTATTTGCAATTGGTTAATTATAATTTATGTTCTCATTTATTTTAAGTGATACTGTCAATAATATTTAATTGTATATTAATACTATTATATAATTCAGTATGTCCATCATGTGTTACAACAGATGTACTAAATGCATCTGGCTGACGATCTTGACTGGGGCTTAATTTTGGGATAGGACATATTATAAGCATCCTGAAAAAAATCATGCTAGGGCTTATTTTGTGGTTAGGTATTATTTTGGTGGAAATACGGTATATGCACACATTTATTTCCATAAACTAACTGTAGGGACAGCTGAGACTCTAAGGTAGGACTAGATAAGGAATCAGGCCCTTTAAGAAGTAGAAGAGATATGGTCTCTTTGTCACAGCAGACAGCCAAGCTGACAGCTTGTGGTTTCACACTTGTGTCTGTGTAAACTATCACCCCCTTCTTTACATTTTCGTTGAAGTAGGTCATTTCCTCAAAATGAGTTGCTGTGCTGGGCATGGTGGCCCATGCCTGTAATCCCAGCACTCGGGACGCTGAGGCAGGAGGATTGTTGCGAGTTCCAGACGAGTCTGGGCTACAAAATGAGCTCAAGGCCAGCCTGAACTGCATAGCAAGACCCTGTCTCAAAAAGACAAAAAAAAAAAAAAAAATTAGTTGCTGAGCTGGATTAAGTCATGGTTACCTCCTGTCTCACTGTCTCAGCCTGGGTCCTTCTTCCACTGATACTTTCATTTTTATTGTGCTTGCTGGGTCCCTGCATGCTTAACTGCCTTACTTGCTTCATTTCAGAGTGAATCAATGCTATCAAAATGCAGATGCCTCCACAGATGGAACTTGCCATGGAGCTATCAGCCTCTTTCCACAACAGTCACCTAGACTATTGCTCCTCAGCGGACATCACCTGCCCCCCACATCGCCCCTAACCAGCAGGAAACAGGAGAGTCATCGCCCTGTTCCCCACCCTACAACAGCAGGATGACTGAGTCAGAAGGGGGAATGCAGGGACAGTTAGAGAGGTGCACATGCAGGGACAATATAGGGCACGACCTGGGTGGCTGAAGGTTATAAAAATGACTACAAGCTGATTGTACACAATGTACTTGAGGTAGCTAGCTCTTGCGAAATTCGTTCTTGTGAAATTATTACACGTACAATCTGCCCATAGCCCTCATGACTTTTTTCTCACCCTAGAAACAAAAGCTAAGGCCCAATTGGCCTGGATTTCACTAATCAGTGAAATAGTTATTTTTACAAACCAGTTTACCTCTATAAGTATGAAGCCTATGAATACCTCCATTGAGAGCTGTGTATTTTGTAAGACAAGGTAGCTTTTCCCTGCATTTGCAATATCCAAAATAAACCTTTGCTTCGCATTACTTTCATTTCTGATTTCCTCATTCTGTGCCAGGCCCTGACTTCCCCATTTTCCACTGTGGCTTTCAGCCAGCCTTGCCCTACTTCTTCGTTCTGCCTGGAGGGCCTGTAGACAAGCCAGAGAAGGGCAGAGGGTCACACAGGAGATGCTAGCCCTCCAGACCCCTGCCAGACACTGCACAGCCACTTCCTCCGTTCTTCTTTCAATTTAAAAATTTTATACATAAATTACTGGAGATTAATTTCACAGTTTAGTCTCAGGTAACAGAATATTCAATGCATCGTGACTAAATTTTAGATAACTAGTATAAAATCACTGTAGTAGTAGTCTGGGTTGTGACTGAGCCTTCTCGTTTTGGGGAAAAGTGAGAACTCTAGTTTGAAGAATAGATGTGTTTTATTAGGTAGAAATATAGAACTGTTTTGCTGTAAAGGAGTCTTTTGCTGACTTTCCTGCTTGGACTCTAGGAGTAGGCTTTGAGATTGAGGTGCGTGTTGATAAAACTCTGGAGGGTAGCAGAACTACTGCCTGCTTGTAGTTGCTATTTGCTCATGTGGTTATCTCTTTCTCTTGGTGGGCGTTGTGTCTAGAAATATATATATATATATATATGGAAGTTAAGTAGACAAAAGAGTAAGGGCAGTTATCAATTTATTATCATTGAGTTCCAAATTCATCCTTTAATACAAGGACTGCAATAGATGACAGAATTCCTGTAAGCACTTCTCCTGTAAAGTGACCCCAGTGCAAGTTTTTTAAGCAGAGGGCACTAGGTGAATCCTCCAGGATAAACAGGAGGCTCTGCCTACAGCTTTTATTGTAGCATGATGGGTCAGCAGTGGATGAGGGCAGTGAATCCCGTGGTGATCAGATTCAGCCACATACCTAGAGTACACTATTCCTTAAATGGAGAAGTATGTCATATTCAGGGATAAAAAGACTCACTATTGCAGTTCTTTGTAAATGTATTTATTGCCTCAGTACAAGGACAATTTCAATCCAAATCTCCATGTGTTTTTTGCTGCTCCAAAATTTATATGGAAGAGCAAAGAGCCAAGACATGATTCTTCTAAAGATGAACCCACAGCCCATACAGGCAGGAACATGACCACCTCTGAAAGTACAAGAAGCAGGCACTAGCTGGTGCACCCCTGGGAGCTTAAGCAGTGCTCCCACTGTCTCAAAGCCCAAACCCATGCCCCATCCAGAGACATAACTACCATAGCGAATAGGAACTATGAGCAGGCAGTAGTTCCGCTACACTCTGGAATTTAATCAGTACTTACCTCAGTCTCAAAGCCTACTCCCCGACTCCAAGCAGGAAGGTCAGCGAATCTCAACTAAGCATTTGTACTGAGCATAGCAGCTGATCCATCCATCCTGATCCACATAACCATGGGCCCACTCCTCCAATCCTTTCCAACTACTGAACTAAAACTGCAATATCTATGGCCAGGGAATATACGTCGTGGCCCAGCCAGAGCAGAGGTGACTGTACTATGCACTCAGCAGCCCAGCCTAAGTTTCTTTGTATGTACCTTAGAAAACTGTTCTGCATGCAAATCTATTTTATTCATTTATCTCTGAAGAAAATCTAATAGGTGGAGACTGAAGCAGGAGGATCCTGAGTTCAGTGCTAGCCTGGGCTACATAGAAAGGAAGAGGTCAGCTTGGACTACACAGCAAGACCCTGTCTCAAAACAAAACAAAACAAATAAAGAAAATATAGTAGATTTAGATAAAAATTGAAATCTGACTACAAAAACAAACAAAAAAAACACCACTCAAGCATGCAGTGACATACATCTGTAATCTCAGCTATGCAGGAAGCTAAGGCAGGAGTTCAAAGCCAGCCTGGGTTACACAGCAAGATTTATCTCAAAATCCACATGTTGTACTTTTATGAAGATCGGCTTATAGATTTAAATGAGCATCACCATATTAAAAGGGACCTCTTTCTGATGTTTTCTTGCCAGAATGATTACAATATTGTTGGTGTGAATTATAGCCTTATTAACAGAGACTGAAATTACAGATATGAGCCAAGTGATATATTTATCTTTCAATCATCCACATCAGTTTCAGAGAACTTCAAATGAACTGTTCTAATTTATAACTTACAAAACTTCCAATGTTTCAAAAAAAATCACTGCAATTAATCTATTTTTTACCTGAATGTCCCATTTGTGGTGTCCAACTTCTGTAACCTGATCTTTGGGGATTTCCAGCAGACAATGGAGTTTTAAGTACTTGGGGACAATGAGTTTCTTGCGCAGAAGATGAGCTGGTACCAAAAGTAAAATTTGATGTAACTACATTTGCTGCATAAGATCTTTTGTTTCCAAAGTGGGACCCTAAATTTAAACAATTAAATATTAATTATTAAAGATTAGAATTATGCCCTGATATATTAATCCCAATATTTCTACCATGTCTACTTACTATTCTTAATCTGATAAAAAACAAGTCATGACAAGCTTAATGACACAACATGGTACTAAAATACGCTAATATGGCTTCAAGTTCACCAAGACTACTCTTACCAAAAATCATAAATTATTTTTTAATCCATATACACCAGACATACTTAATTTGTATAGCAACTATTAGCCCCCTTTTCCTCCACTGACTTCCTCACTGAAACTTCTGCCATGCAAGCTGTATTGTAAAGACTCTTTCAAAGTCAACTTGGCTTCAGTTCTATTTAGGTACTTACCTGTTAATATAAATTACCTATCTTATAATGTTGCTAAAAATTTAAAACAATGACATAAAGAGCCAAACAATGATCTGGCACAAGAAAGTCCTGTGGGGAAAAAAATGGGGCCTTTTTCCCCTTTCCTTTGGACAACTGTATACCTTAATTCTCCTTAAACTATGGAACGGTTCCCTTTGTGAGATCAAATTTTTGTTTTCCTCTTTACTACTGTCTTGCAGGGCTACTATACTTTCAAACATTCTCTCACAAATCAATATTATACATTTTCTCTGAGCATATCTGTTCTCTTGGTTTCTATGAACATCTATCTCCTGACAACTCTCAAATCTTCATACAGCCCTGACTCTTTTCCTATACCAGGGGTTAGTAAGGGCCAGACGGTAAATATCATGTTTGTGTGGGAAATATGGCCATGATCATAGTTGTTACTCGATACAGGGTTTGTAAGCAAAAACAAAATTTTGCCAAGTGATTCTGTTTGAAAACCAACAGAAGCATTTAGGAATCAAGGTGCCACTATATTTTGAATTTTATGTACCATATCATCACTGTTAAAGTTAGCCAACTCTGACAGTACTATAGGAAAGTAGTCACTCAAAATACACAAATAAATGAGCATGGCTGTGTTTCAATAAAACTGTACAAGATACCGAAATCTGAGTTTTACATAATCTCCATATACCACAAATTATTCCTCTTCTTTTAATTTTTCAAACTTTTAAAAATGCAAAAACCATTCTTAGCACTATACTTACATTGTTCTGTATAGTAGCCACTAACTGCATGAGCTATTTGATTAAATACAAGTGAAAGAAAATTGATAATTCCTCAGTCGTACTAGCCATACTTCAAACTATCAAAAGCCACTTTTGGCTACTGGTTGCCATACTGGAAAAGACAGATATGGAACATTTCTATCCCCATAGAAATTTCTCTCACACAGTGTGGCTCTAGATCACTGTATCTATTTATTGAACATAAACCTTCAGATATCTTCCTAGAACTTCTAAACATCCCAAAGTGGACTTGTTATCCTTCCCATAGTAGTTAACTCTTTATTACATGATTAATTGAACCATCTTATACCTTTTCACCTGAGTCAGAAACTTAAGTCATTCTTAGCTCTTTTATCAATCCTAACACCAAATAGAATTACCAAATCCTTTAATTCTTTTTCCCACCTGAGGATCTTTAACCCATTTTTTAAGCCTTTAACTTCCTCAAATTTATTTTCTTCTAGCATTACACCTGTTTGATCTCTCTCATAGGATGGGTGACCCTTTTGAAAACCAAATCTGATTATCCCCCTCATAGTTCCTGTTTCTCCATACCAACCATGAGATAAATTCTAGTTTCTTTGTATGGGTTGAAGCGGGAATTAATGACACACTCAAACTAGGTTAATTTGGAGAGACTCTAATAAAGGGAATATTCACAAAGGTGTTGACAGGGTATAGAGGTATCATTATGAAGAAGTGTATTGAATCAAATAAAATATTGTCCATGAACATCTGTAAACTTGAAGAGGTAAGAAAGGAATTGGGTACTAGAAACTGGAGACAGAGATGTTTCCTGTTTTCCAGTTATTTTTAGAGTCTAAACACTTTCTTGAAATTTATTCACCTTAGTTCTCTCCCAACTTCTTTGACTTTTGTTTTGCTGTGTTTTTTTCACATTCTTCCCTCTCACCCCAGATATAATGGTAACTTTAAAATCTCTATCTCCTTCAACTTCCTCTTCTTAGTCCTATTATCTTAATATATGGACATCCTAGGCACTCTTCACACTCAGTATTCCCATGATAGAACTTACTATTTTCCCTCTACAAGTTGCTTCTCTTACAAAGTTCCCCATATCAGGAAAAAGTAGCTATTATCTAACCAATTACTAAAGTCAGAGGAAACCTCATGTTGGCAAGCAAGACAAGTAATTTGTTCTCCAGACCTAATACCAACAAGGACTCCAACTTATCTACGTCAGATCACACTCCTGTGCTAGTCAAACAATATTATTTGCAGTTGTACCTATTTCTGTGCCTTTGCACGGTTTTCTGTTTAGCATGCTCTTTAATTTTTCTCTCCCTCTTTAGCTAGCATTATTCATCCTACTTGAAGACCAACTCAAATTCTTTTTCCACTTTTACCCCCTCTTATAAATCTCTTGAAAAATTATAAATACTTCAGAAGGAGTGATTGTTTAAAGCACTCTCATGGATTTTTAAGTCTGTCTTCCCTATTGAATCATAAATTCCTGGAGAGCACACATTATGATTTTCAACTTTTAACATAATTTGGCCTTGGTTCACCTATTTGGGCTTTGGTTCTCTTTTGTAAGACAGGGAAGAAAAATCTACTTTGCTGAATTATGTGAAGGATCAGAGTTACCATATTTATAGTAAGAAGTACATTAATTAGTGGGTATTATTATAACTGATAAAAATATATGCACAAAGCAGTTCATGAAAAGGATATTATCTTAACAGTGTGAACATGAAGGTTGCCTTCGAGAAGTGCAAATGGTTTCATTTCATTAGAAAGCAGGGTAAATATTGTGAATTGCTGAAAAATAAAGCTACAAGGAATGAAAAGAGATTCCAATGGCCTTGGCCATCCTTTTAAATAGTTTCATCTTGTACCTGTAGATATAGAGCCACTCACTGATTATGCTGCAAGGGACAGTATATCTTTCCATATATCTCTGGTGGTATTTCAAGTTAGGTTGGAAGAAGGACGAATACCTAGGAGTTTGATGTGATGGCAGAAATAAAATTATGTGTGTCTGCAAATGACCCAGAGAGGGGAAGGGGCAGAAGCTACACCTTTTCACACACACTTGCTCAGCTCTTAGCTATACTCACAGATTGCTATTTCAGTTTTGCCTTCTCATTTCCTGCCTTCTTGATGTTTGCATGGACAGATATCTCCCTCATTATGCTCACATTCATTTCTCTGCTTCTCTTATTTCAATCACTTGTCTAATCTCAATATACAGTATAAATTATTTATTTACATTTATTTATTTGAGACAGGGTATCACTATGTAGCCGAAGCTGGCCTTAAAGCGACAAGTCCTCCTGCCTCAGCCTCCAGAGAGCGGGGATGACAGGTGTGCATGCCTTGCTTTTAGTTAAACTGAACTCAAGCTCAAAGTTCATGGGATTGAACCCTGGGCTTTAACACTAAACTGCATCCCCAGCCTTTTTTTGGATACAGGGTCTCACTAGGAAAGGCTGCGCTCAAACCTGTAATACTCCTGCCTCAGCCTCCCAGAGTGCTGGGAATACAGATGTATAAGCCCAGGCCTGGCTTGAAAAACTCAACAGTTCACCTGGATTAGACCTAATGTTCAGTTTGGTCTATTTTCATCGGATGTTAGGACTTGAGGACTCAAATTCAGCAGGTATTGTTCACTTCACTACTCCTATCAGGAAACTTTGGCACAAGTGGCGGGGACTCGCCTAAGACCTTGAGAGATGAGGCTCCACCACCTCAGTGGTGAAACAAAACCTCAGCGCAGCCCGCCTAACCACCGCCCAGGCCTTACGCCCTTCCGGTCCTCCACTGTACGTCATGGCGGAACTTCCGTGATCGCGGCCCACGCCACCCCCGTCAAAGCGGCTGCGGCTGGTCGCCCAGGGGATCCCGCTTCCAGCCCTGTCCCCGCCCTTGCCTGGCGCCGGCGGGTAGCTCTCAGGGAGGCCTGGGCAGCCGCTGCTGCTGCCGCTGCGGTCACCTACAGCTCCAGATGAGCCCGGCAGGGATGACGTCGAGGCCCGCGCGGAAGGGCGGCTGGGAGAGATCGCCCGGGGCCCGAGGAAGTGGTGCGGACCCTGTGGGGCAGCCCCTCCCGAGGACGAGGAAGACACCGCAGGGGCCGAGGGGGTGGTGGACACGTTCGACCTCTGCATCTCCAGCCGGCAGGCGTGAAGTTCCTCAGCGTCCCTGTGAGCAGCAGGCAAATGCCGGAAATGGGCGCCACAGGAAGAGCGGGAACACGGCGCGCATGCGCAGACCCGGAAGGGGCACTTCCCACATCCGGCCCCCGTACCCTTCATGCCTTAGGACTTGATCCAGGCCGTTCCCAACCGCACTACCTTACTACAGGTGACCCCGTGAGGTCAACTTCGAAGTACTAGGCTAACCATGATGCAGAACTTACTGTTCTCAAAGCAGCAGTCATTTTCTGAACAATCTCCAGCCAGACTGTTTCCCACTTGTATTTTTTAAGTACAGAAAACTTACTGTGCCTGTTAAGGTCCTGTGACCGCAGTCTTACCATAGTAGTATCCATATGGCTGTCAGGGCATGGCAGGGACCACCCTGGCTGTGAGGCATGACACACTGTTCAAGTACAGCGCTCAGGAATTCAATTTCTAGTACTGTTAACTTCGAATATAGGTAAACAGACGACAAAACCGTGAATTTCCCAGTGATGCCCCCTGTTGTGGCAACACTCAATTGTTTCATTACTGGGTGCACAGCCTCTTCTGTAACACCCAATAAAATGTTCTAAACTGAGGTCTAAAATTGCGAAGACATTCATTTCAAAATGGTTAACTGCCATTTACCTAAACCATTACCAACCCAGAATAATTACATGTAGACCTATAAATTATTCCCATTTTTCAGCCATCTACTTTGTCCATGCTTTAATTTATACATAGGATTTATCCACTTTTACCAGTAACATTCTTGCTGACAAAACCAATTCACATTTTCACAGACCACAGAAGGAACAAAAGGGAAAAAAAAGCAGAAAGAACTCTAGTTTTTAAATTTACTAAGCAGACATGAATAAGATACATGTACATACAAAAAAACCACTACTCAAAACAGCACTTCAGAAAATCTAAAGGTGAAAATACAATACTTTATTTTACAGTATGTATAGTTATATAATTTATTAGAGTTAATTTAACACAATATACAAAATATTAACAGACATTTTAGGTTCAATAAGCACTTCAAATACAGAAATGTTAAAATGGCAAAAACTACTACACATTCTTTTCCCTATCAATCAACAAATCTAGCTCACTAGTTCAGGGTGAACATTCACTCTTTCAAGTACTTCTTCAGGCATGCAAAACACAGGACTAACAGGTTTAATTTGTTCTTCTCCCAGAAGTGACAATCCAGCAATGCCAAATAATGTATGAAAAGGGTCCACCTATTTAAGAAAAACAAAAGGACTATAAGAAAGACAACTATAAAAACTCATGTTTATATTTAAGCCAATTATGTTACATATATAAGTGCTTAAGAGTTTTCAAAATATTTATGGCAATAGGATAAGAACTCTGTTCAGGGGCTGGGGATTTAGCTCAGCGGCAAAAGCGCCTGCCTGGCAAGCGCAAGGTCGTGAGTTCAGTTCCTGGTACCGGAGAAAAACCAAAAAAAAAAAAAAAAAAAAACCTCTGTTCATATTTTAATATAGAAGCTATGGCAAATATTGCTTTCAAAGCAACCCTTGCACTGTTCACCAGATGTGCCAGATCTACTTCTAGAGATCACTAGAACCATGAAAGCCATTGAAAAAAGCAACTTATTCACTCTTGTCAGAAATACACTTACCATATCTCCTGGCCTGTCTGCAAAACCTCCAGTTTCTTCATCTTGACATGCTAAAATAAAGCTACGCAGTTTCTCTCTATCAATCCAATGAAGCCTTCCAATTATCTTTAGGGAAGCCAAAACCCACCATGAATAGCATACATCTGGCAACTGAAATGGAAAAGAAATATTTTGCCACAATTTTACTTCTTTTCCTATGCTGAAATGTAATTTGAAAATTTAATCTCATGTCCAAACAGGAGGAGGAAAAGAGGGCTATTATGAAGTGTCTGATGTTTGCTCAGAATTGATCATTAGCCAAGAGAATACCCATCTCCAGATTACAGATGCCCATGCTGTTACAAGAATCCCCCATTAATGTCTAACTCGGCCCTTATGAGGTTAATACTAGTTCATGAAACCCATGGGGATATGCTCTGTTTCCTAAAAGTAACACCAAGTGTTACTCAGGTGCATATAGCACCTACTTGAAATTCATGACGAACCTGGATCTTCACAATGTGGTCATCATGTGTATAAACCACCCTAATATTCTCCATCTAACTGAGAATGCTAAAAATTCATAAGCACATTAAAGCAATTTTGACAGTTCCCCAGGATTGAAAAAAAAAAACAAAAAAAAACAACAACAACAGATCCTATCTAGACACCACCACGGGCATTTCCCTACTCATTTAAAGAGTTCAAAATACATACTGAAAAACAAAAATTTGCAAATAAAGACACATTAGCTCAGATGAAGTACAGTACCACCATGTCCCAATTCATGGGACAGAGGCATATGAAGGAAAATTAGTAACCCTCAAACCAAGATGTCAACTATTGGGTTTTCAAGAAGAACCTAATTTTTTAAAAAGTCTGTAATTTGGCAGAATCAATTGTATTTTCAGAGGTATAATGGTCATAAAGGTTTATGTACAGTATGTGTAAAAGTAAAGCCATTGGCCTTAGCCTTCAAGCCTTTAATGCATGACTAAGTTGAAAAGAGCTTCATTTCAATGCTTGAAAAATATACAAGGACAACCTGGGTAACTTCAGGAGACCCTGGCTCAAACAAAAAGTAGGGCTGGGAAAGAAGATGCAGCTATGTGGTAGAACCACCTGGGTCCTCCAGTAATTTGCATCTGGAAATGACACCAGGGTCCACAACCATTTCAACCAGGCAGGTTCTACTTTTTCAAAGAGCACATATCTTGGAACCCTTCAACGAGGAAGGGAAAAAACTCAATTTATAAGAGCAGTAATGAAATGTGAAGACGAGACAATCAAAGGTTAGAAAGCTAAGTATTACAGAACACAGCTTATGAAACAGTACCTTCTCTGGTCTTCCATTGAGTCCACCTGAGGGTAACTGTCGTTCACAAAGCCACCAACCAAGTAAATCAGAATTTACTTGATGTAACTGACTAGTAATAGCCAAGAATCCTGTGCAACAATAGATCTAAAATTACAGACATAAAGTACATGTGTATAATTTCTTGAAAAGTAAAGGTGTTAACAACTAATTATTAAAACTCTATTTTGCACTTAAACACTGTCAGCATCTCTTCATAGCTTATTACTTTATAACTAATTACCTACATAATGTTCTGACACCAAGATCTGCTTACTCAGAGTAGACAAGGCTAGAATAATTTCACATACATAATTAACCATCAAAGGAGGGCTGACATGTAGCTCAGCGGTGTCACACTGCTGGCTTAACATGATGTGGGGGGATCGTGGGCTAGCTGCCTCCCCCCCAAAGGGACTTTGGTAGCTATCAACCTACTTTTGTTTGCTTGGGTCAGAGGTACCTCACAGGGTAACGTGAAATAAACTACTGTAAACATGCTTTCTGTAAGTAGCAATTACACAACATTTAGGTAATATCCCACATACAGTGAAATTTACTATGAAAACACCCTCCATCTTACTATATAGGTAATCTCTATAAAAATATTACACTTTAATCTGCATTAATAAATTACCTGTCCAGCATGAGATTCAGAACCTGGTCTGCAACCAAATCCACCATCAAAGTTCATACAGGATAAGACAAATTCGATTGCCTTTTCTACATTAATAGCATCAAGCTTTCCCTACAAACAAAAGGGGAAAAAAGAACACTAAATTCCAGAGTATTTAGCATGATGAATCATTTCAGTATAGTACTTATCAAAGCTTACCAAAAGAGCCAAAGTAGCCACCGCACAAAAAGAGAATCTTGTATCAATTTCTCCTAAAACAAAAGTGACACACGTTACCAGAGGCTTCTGACCATTAATAGTGCTAGTTACCTTAAAAAAAAAAAATCTATGCAACTACCACATTAAATTTCCAAGAACTCAGCCTTAACTTTTACATTAGGTGGTCAGAAGGAAAGCTCAATCTCAAATGCCTTCACCACTAAGGAGACTAACAGAAAACTGTCAAAAGTAACAGTAAAATAATCTCAAATTGCTTACAAAGTATCAGACAAAGAACCAGAAGTAAAAGATTATTAGTCAACTTCTAATAATACAAATAAACTTACCCTATTTTACAAAAGTAGATTTTCACATCCCATGAAGCAGCTGGTCTCTCTGGCCTGCACTGTGTTCAGCCTAAAGCAGAGATTATCTACATTTATCAAATAAAATCTGACCCACTCCCTCCGTTCAAATAGTCAGAAATTGTCTTTTTTTTTTGTTGTTTTTCCCTTCCAGCATGTTATTTCTTTTAAGTTTAAAACGCTACCCAATACTGGGGAAAATATTTCACCTACCGTATGTTTTAGATTGGCCCCCTCTGTTCCAGCGCTCCTGTATGCAGTTATAATTACCAGAGCATGCTGGGCCATTAACTCCAGTTAGACCAACTGCTTAGTGGGACCTGAAAAGATGAAAAACTTAAATCTCCTTATCAATTGCCACTACCAAAGCCAGGACATTGTAGTATTTAATTCAGGGTAACAAGGACTAAGTGTAACATTACCCCAAATATCTCCAGCAAAGGAACCATCTTCTTTCTGTAGACTTTGAACATATTCCACAACTTTATTTACGTCAATAACATTAATACTATCATACAGAGTAAGAATCTGTAATATGAAAGACAAATAATTTAGTAAATAACTTTCAATTCCATTCTGCTGCTATGCTAACTTGTTCAAGCAAATACTTCTTTTGGTCTACTGACACTCAATTATTTTCAAATATGCAGACTTTACTGTTATTCAATGAAATTATATATTTTATCAACATTTCCAAACATTTAACTGTAAAGCATTCCTTTACATATAAACTAATTTGGCATTCTAAAGTACTCTGACTTTAGACCATCATGTGTACATTCACTAGTATCAAAACAAAACCAGTTGTTTTCAAAGTTTCATAAATCAAAGATAAAAACTGTCCTTCAAGGTCTCAGGGCAATTTCAGAATTCACATCAACTGCACATTCAGCTAATACATGCCATCACATCACTGACCTTGCACAACAGACTTGATCAACAAATTTATTTTGTCCTCTTCCTAATGCAATTTTAATTCCTGACTCTCAGGAAAGAAAATATAGTATCAAGACAAAATTTTGAATATTTACCTGGACAGCACTCAGAGTGTACAAAAGATGAGGGTCATGCCCAATACTAGCGCTTATTCCACCACACTCGTGTTGGCATGATTTAATGAATGTCAGAATTTCTTCTCTATTCATGCGGTCAAGTTGCCCCATGAGATCCATTACTGTCAAACCCCAATAGATGCCACTCATTCTCAAGTACTCCGACATGCAGTATTCCTAAAACAATAATTCCTTAAGTGGGTTAATTTGAATTTTTGACAAGAGATGTTTGAAAGTTACAAACTTAGCAGTGGTATCTACAGCTGACATTACTATAAATAGGGCTTTAGTATCAACCAAGTGCCAGAGGTAAAATGATTTAAAATCATCTACCATTTTCAGCACTTAAATTCA